CTGCTGCTGTGAGTGAGGATCTGGAACCATCTCCCATTTGTAGTTTTGCTAACCATGAGGCTGCAGAATGTGTTGACTGATAATGGCTGAACAAATAGAAAATCCCAGAGGCCCAGTGGAGCATGTAAGGATGAAGTAACTGATGCCATGGGATCCGGCTCTCACTGGATGCTCTGAGGGACTCCATGTCCAGGGGCTCCCAGCCTAACCCTACTGGAGAGGCAAAGTACACCAGGCCAGGCTGTGCTTTTGGGACTCAAGTTCACTGAATGTCGTGCTCAGTAAAGTCTAGTGTTTAAAGTGTGCAGTTGCATGCATCTTTATAACACACAGTTGTTTTTCCAGCTCCAAAATCAATCTAGATACAGAACATGCTCTCCTCCCAAATCACATTTGAGCCCCTTAGTGGGCAGCTGGCATGCTCCCACCCTAATGGGAGCTTATTTGTGTCGCCTGCGGTGTGGCTTTTTTAGGACACTATGTGGGTCCTCAGTGTGTGTTCCCTGTAGTCACCTCACCTGTGTATCAGAGGCCTGCTTTTTGGGTGCTGTGCCCTGTTCCCCAGCACTCACATGCTGGGCTTTTCCATTCACTAGTCTCTGTTCATTTGGACTTAATGCTTCTCTCCCACACACTGTGATGCCTGAATCCTTTTCTCCTGCCTCGTGGGACCGTTATAATCAGAGAAGTCAATATATTCAAAGCACATGGCATGGTACCTGGCATGAAGGAGTGCAGCATACCGGTTAGGCACAATAGAGCCACAGCAGGGAGTACTCAGACATTGTCCGGCTTTGCCTGAACCTGCTACACTGTGATCTGGGGCAAGTTAACTAACCTCTGGTGTTCTACCTTCTTCATTTGCAAATGATGATATAACAGTGCCTACCTTAGATGCCTGTCACCCACACTCTTGAAGTCCCATTTTTCTGTTCTGAAAAGTAGGGATTCTCAGCTGGAATTTGGAAAAGTGATGTTCACTCAGACCTTTCTTCGACTGGAGTAAGGGAACTGAAAGTGTCACGTGGCACTTCACCCTCGTCATTCTCTTTCTTGGGGAAACTCACTGCATTAAGGTGTTGTCCTGGCCCCTGGGTGGGGACTGGCATGACTCTGGTAAAGATAGAGAGCAGAAAACCAATAGAGTCAGTCCAGGGAGAGTGGTTGGTAAGAAGGGTTCAGGGGACAGACAGAGAGAAGCCACCAGGGCTGAGCACTGCAGTCTTTCTGGTCTCACTAGTCAGACCTAAGGCATTGAGTGCCATCCTGGGATCTGTGATAAGGTGCCCTGGTGTCCCCTCTCCCCATCAGTAAAACACACAAGCCACCAACCTGTGGGTGATGGTCTGTAGGGGCAGGGGCCATGGAGGTGGGGCAGTCTGGGGAACACCAGGCTCAAAATGGCTTTGCTCATATAAGTAAAGTATTTTCATTCTGGAGGTCAGGATGAACCAATCACTGTGCTCTGCATGGGGTGAGCCACAGGATTACACTTGCCAGCTGTGGGTTGGCACAAATCATCACGACCCCCATATGCACTCTTGTATCCTAGCTCAGAGCCTCTTCACCTCTCCTCCACTAAATGAGAACCAGGCAGGATCCTTCTGGAAGCTTTAGGACACCTGGATGGATTTTTGGAAAATGCTGGAAGATTCTGGTATAAAATGAAAGCTCAGCTGTGAGTGCTTTGTTGGCTCCGAGAGTGAGTATCCAGATCTTGAGTATCCAGAGCAGCACCATGGTGACAGCTGCAGATCCTCACAGTAGAGGTGGAAGTGTGAGGGAGGACTGTGGGCCCTACTCTTGGGGTCTTGCCACACAGAAGTGAAGGAGAAACGGGGCCGAACCAGCAAAGACATCTGTCATCCTGCCTTAACCTTCACCTGTCTGGTCTGTCCTGTTCCAGGAGCACTGATGGGCCAAGAACACAGGGCAGCTCTATTATGCAGTGGGCCAGAGAAACCATGAAGGCCGCTGCTCATGTGGATTCTGTCACCACCAGGCACCCATGAGATCTGTGCAGATAAGATCGCTCCATCTCTAGCTTGCTGGAAGGTGTGCTATCCCCACGTCTCCTCTGTGGGAAGCCTCATTGAACATCTGCCTCTGTAACATGGACGGCCAACATTGTGAAGGCCACGAATGCATACCAGGGTACCATTAGATGTTACTCTGTGTTTAGTGCTAGCTCAAGACACTGCTCCTGCAGTGAGGCCAAGATCTCAGCTGAGTTAGTGCTGTTGGCCAATGGCTTGGTGATTATGTGACAGGTTGCGATAGTCTAGTCAAAGCACGGTGAAGCCAACTCCCTCCTCCTGGGGTGGTCAAGAAGCCTGGGGCCCATCATATCTCTCCTGGGAGAATACAGGGATACATACATGGACCCAGCAGCCACAGCACACCCTCTCAGCAAAGCTGCCAGCAGAGTTGGCTGTTTCTGGTTCTTACAGTGTAGTGGGTTGGGACACTGCTGTTCAAGGCTAGCTTGCTCGTGGGAATGCTCTGTGGAGATCCTTCCTCTGATTTCTCTGTTCTCCTTCCTAGTAATATCTCAGTTTTGTTCCCTGTTCATCCATATGCACCAAGCACTGTTACCCACTAGAGAGTGAACAGAGATGTTGCTTCTTTCTCCTCCTTCATTGGGTTAAATCAGGAGGCTAGAGAAACAGCCATCTTGCAACCATGAAGTGACCACAGAGACACTGGATGGAGGAAGAGGAAGAGGATGAGGGAAGGGTCTGGGACACTGACCTTTGGGGTCTCTACTCCAGCAACATGTGGGAAGCAATACCACCTCCCTCCCCCATTTAGCTGTGCAACTCTCAGTTGACTGGCAGGCAGAGGACATGGTCCCTTTCTGATTCAGGGCTGAGTCAGAAGCTATTAAGCTAAGCTCTGAAGGGTGGCCCATCTGAGAAGGGCTGGGGCATGGCCCTGTGTGACACCAACTGATATAAAGTCCATAATCGCTGATTCAGAGACAGAGCCACCCATCTAGTCACTGGAGTCATCTCTGTGCACTGGCCTTGGAGAGCTGGAGGCCAGGTCTCAATTGCAGCCTGAGATCATTTACTGTTGGTGACCTTGCTGAGTTCTTGAAGTTGTGTCACTCCCTGTCTGCAGTCTGTAGCATGCAGAGAGTGATGGCATCTTCCTTGTGGGGCTGCTGGGAATGAAATGCATCAATTGTGAAGAAGTACTTGGTATAGTACCTGGTACAGGACTGTGCACAGCACACTGTCACAGAGGTCATAATCTATGATATAGAAAAGCCCTTCGTTCCAGTTCCATACTCTGCATCCTGCTAGCAAATCCCACCAACAAATCCAGTCCTCTAGCAGTTTGAACCCAGTTGGTTGAGGACTCAGGAGCATGATGCCCAGTTGTTTATGCAACTGACCCTGTGTGTGACCATGGTAAACAAGTCTCCCTGGAGCCCAGCTGCTTTGTTTACAGAAAGAGAGGCTTGCCTGGGAGTGAAGTCTGGTCTCTGTCATTAGAAGGTCCTGAGGTTTGTCATTATCTAGGTAATTCCATCATGCAGGAGACTCTCAGGCTGCAGGGAGACTTCCCTGGCTCCCTGAACATGACTCAGTGTCCCAGTGCTGCTGCTTAATCAGCACACGCCTTTCCTGAGTTTCCATCAGGCCAGGGAAAAGACATTGAATTCACATTGTTCTGGGATAGAGAAATACATCTGCTGCCCTGTGTGAGGTCGTTCTCTCCAGGAGCAGGGTCCTGAGTTTCCTTTCTCCTTTGGCAGCTGAGGATGCTATCCTGTTTCAGGGTGTGACTTTCACTAGGTGGCAATGGGTTTGCCCAGCCTTGGGAGCCCAGAGGCCATCCTTCATTGCTTCTGGAACCTATGGACACATTGATTTTCCTTTGTGGTCTGAATGAAAAAATGAGTTTTCACCAGTGTGTGGGTTGAATAACAGCTTGTAGGCACCAGCCTTTTGTAGGAAGCACAGTGTGTGCTGGTGGTAGCTACTCTAGCTACCCCTTTGAATAGTGCAACTTTGTTTCCTACACAGCCCAGTAAGCGTCCACTTCTGGATGACTTGGTGAGTGACCAGCATGGACTTGCAAGCCCTCTGATCTTCATTACTTGGGATAGTCTGGTCCTATCTGGATGCACAGTATAGTCAGAGCATGAGAAGCGAGCTGCAGATGGCTCACTGACACTAGGTGAGCTATGCCAACGGTCAGAGTCCTCAGTGCCAGCTTGGTCACTGCATCAAGAGGTACCTAGGGTGTTCAACTTGTGCATGAATCTGCTGTAGGAAAAGTAGAGAGTCCGTGTGACCCCAGAGTTCAAAGTCAAGTTGAGGGCCTGGTACCTGTGTGACTTTGGGGAAGATGTGGTCTCCAGCAGTTCTGTGAACCCTCTGTTGTCCTCCCTCCCAGGGAGAGGCAGCCTGTAGTGTTCTCATACCTGAGCACTATGGTCTGTAGCTCCCAGTTCTCTTGATCTGGAAAAATCATGTGACTACCTGATCCTCATCTCTATCAGGGAGAGCAGCTATGGACACTCCTGAAACAGGGACTTGGGTAGTCAGGTCTTTTCCTTTTAAAAAATTTTGATTTTGTGTTTTCTGTGAAACACTCTATTTATAGATGCTGGGGGTGTCAGGTCTAAATCTGGGGCTTATAAGAGGAGTTGTGGTTGGGGATACAACTTGGAGCTTATCAGTTATAAATGATACTTTAGTCCACAGGAGAGAATGTGGAGTCAGCTGAGAGGCACTGAAGACTCTGTGCTGCTGGGCGTGTGAGTGTCCAGTTGAAGGAGAGGGCACCCAGAGATGAAAGGGGAGGGACATGGGAGGGAAGGTACTCCTGGGCCTCATCTCCTGAGAGTTACACCAGGTCTCTCCTTAGCAGTCTGGAAAGAACTGGGCCTCTACCTTGCAGGCTTTTGATGGACAAGAAAGAGAAGAGCCTGTTGGCACCTGGAGGCTATACACCACAAAGGTGACATCAAGGGACGGCACCTTTCCTCCCTACTTCTGAGGGCTAGACTGAATGGCGTGTCCTGGATGCCACAGCCTTGTATCCCTAGAACCCTAAATCAGTTCCTTCCCGAGACAGTGTCCAGCTCAGCATCTTCTTCAGGTAGGCTGGGCCGTCCACTGCATCTTGTTGAATGGCTTGTTCTGTTGACCACGAGAGACCCTCCCACCCTCCCAGGAACAGCAGAGCTGCCTGCATACCCTTGCAGACTCTTGGACTTTGTTTGCATGTTCTAAGGCTAAATCTTGCTCTCTTGGAGGGAATAACTCATCCTTTGAACTTATAAACATACCAGAGTGAGGAGAAGAAGACAAAAGCTAGAAAATCAATGATGTGCTTCTTTAGTTTTTATTTTTTTAAATTCTATTTTCAGATTATCTTAATTGTATGCCCTTACTAGGACACATTTGAACATCACAGAAGAATACTTTAAAAAGGTAAAAGCAACCATCCTCAACTACGCAGTGATGAGATACCTTCGTCATTTCTTATCCTTTGTCTAACTCCTTCTATGGAAATGTTTTAAAAACTTTTGTATGTATGAGTGTTTTGACTGCATGTATGTAGTGGACCATTGCATGCAGTGCCCGTGGAGACCAGAAGAGGGCATTGGATCCCCTGAAACTGGAATTAAACCATGTGGCTTCTGGGACCCAAACTCAGGTCCTCTGCAAAAGAGCATCTAGTACTCTTAACCACTGAGTCCTCTTTCCAACTCCTTCTATTAAAATTTTCTTGTCATCAAGTGGTACATATAATTTCGTGTGCATCACATTTTATCTTAAACATTTCTCCAAGTCAGTGAACACTTCAAAAAGTAGCAGTTTAAAAGGTAGTATAATATATCAGATTAAATTACATCAAATGATGTTCTACTTAGAAAACCCCTTACTGTTGGACATCAACTTTTCCCCCAAGAAATAATTAGCATTGATAACGTGGTACAGCAAACAATGATGACCTCTGACTTAAGATGGTGCAACTTATGACAGCATGCAAGTGATACACATTCATTAGAAATTATGAGTAGTTTGTGTGTATATGTATGTATGTGTACATATGTATGTGAGAGAGAGAGACAGAGAAAGTATGTGTGTATGTATGGAGAGAGAGAGAGAGAGAGAGAGAGAGAGAGAGGTGCATGCATGCATAAGGAGATTAGAAGTCAACTTCAGTGTCCTTCCTCAGTCACTGTCTACCTTATGTTTTTGAGACAAGATCTCTCACTGTCCTGGAGCTCACCAGGTAGGGAAGGTTGGCTGGTCAAGAAGCCCCAGGGATCCACCTGTCTCCACCTCCCCAATTCTGGGATTACAAGTGTATGCCACCATGCTTGGCTTTTTGAAGTGGGTTCTGAGGACTGAAATTGGATCCTCAACCTCAAATAGCATATCAGTTACTTTCTGTTGCTGTGATAAAACAGCATGATGCAAAGTGACTTGTAGAAGAAAGAATTTATTTTGGTTTATGGTTCCAGAGGGACCGTCTCTAATGGCAGGGAAGGTGTGACAGAAGACAGCAGAAGCGGGAAGCTAAGCAATCACCTTTCAACCTCACATGGGAAACAGGGTAACTGAAAGTGAGGTGAGACTCTAAACTCTCAAAGTGCCCCCCTCCCCCCAAATGATGTACTGCCTTCAACATTGTGCCAGTCCTAAAAGCTCCACAACCTCTCCAAACAGTGCCACCAACTGGGAACCAAGTGCTCAGATAATGAGTCTGACATTTCACATTTAAGCCACTGCACTCCAGTCCCTGGCCCCCATAGGCTCATGGCTATATCATAATGCAGAATGCGTTTAGTCCAACTCTAAAAATTCTCCCACAGTCTTTCATAATCTCAATACATTTCTCACTTAAACCGTTATGCACAACAAACACTTTAGGGATGAAGCCATCTCTCCAGTTGAGGATGAATTTTGTGTGTGTGTGTGTGTATCCATCAGGTACTTGCATTTCCTTTTTGTCTGGAAGGTAAAATTCTGTAGCTGGTGACCACTAGAAATATGACGATTTACTAGCCAGGGTTGGGGAGGTTATAGATAAGTTACAACATTGCTAATCATGTGCTTGAGCTCCTACTGAGTGCAGGTGCTGCGATGGAGACACGTATAGAACATTGCTAGTGCCTCTGTGGGAGATGATGCAGCCCTCAGGGACTTCAAGCAACCCATGGGCATCCCAGCAGCTTTCAACAGTGGGGAACTGGTAAGCAGCGGTGAAGGTCTTGTCAGGCTTTGCATTTCTGTCTTCACTGTGTTCAATTCCATTTTGGTCCTCTCCTGCTTCTCCGAAGAGCTTTAGGTTGGTGAATGAGGATAGTTTGAGGTCAGTCTAGGAAGAACCAGAGTCCTACTCTGGCAGAGACACATGCTATGTGGAAAAGGGTGGGAGGAACATGTCTGCTGCTGAATAGTGGGAAGGCTGGGAGCTGGAAAGAAACAATTAGCCCAGGGAACAGGCTGTCCACAGACCTATACCCTGGCCCCGGGCCAGGAAAGTTCCTGCTCGTGCTCAGCATTAGGACACAGGGAAGAGATGACTTTCACTCTGAGGACAGGTGAGGTCAGCCAGAGGGCATGCAGACAGTCCAGTCTGACTCCAAGCTCAACATTGTAGCCCGGGAGGGGCAGCTGTGGCACACGCTGAGTTGAGGAGGTTGACAATGAGTCTAATCCGCTCACCAAGATTTCAGGAGGTTCACCAGCATTTTCCCGATGCTACACGGCAACTACCAAGGCTCAAGATGATTTTATATTTTATAGATGGAGAAACTGAAGCTCAGAGAATTTTAGGTCAGGCAAGTAGACAGCCAAGGCAGAGGCATCTTTCTTCCCTTTTTCTTTCTCCTTCCACCCTCTCTTTCAACAATGTCTCTCCCTGTAGCCCAGGCTGTCTTCGTGCCTCAGCTCCCTGAGTGCTGGGACCCCAGGCCTTCTCTTCCTTCCAGAATCACTTCCCAGCCTCCTTGTCCCATAGCCAGTTTTTCATGTGGATCAGATAAGTGACACCTCACCTCTCAGAACTGTTGTGTAGTTGTTGCTTTATGAAATAGTAGCAACGACATAGAAATTATTTCCCACTTCTTTTTTAAATTTAATTTATTTTTAAATTTTATGTGTATGAGTGTTTTGGATGCATGTTTGTAAGTGCACCAGGTGTGTTCAATATCGGGCAGAGGCCAGAAGAGGGCATCACATCCTCTGGCACTGGAGTTGCAGACAGTTGTTAGCTGCCATGTGGATGCTGTGAATTGAACCCAGGTCCTATGGAAGAACAGCAAGTGTTCTTAACTGCTGAGCTGTCTCTCCAGCCCCATTTCCCACTTATTAAAGGCACAGACATCTGCAGCACTACTGATGCTCAGAGGGTGAAAATGGAATGTGCCAAGAGGTAAGTACAGCAAATATTAGCAATAGCATGAGTTGTGTGTTTAACGTAATTAGAAATGGGTTTTCCCTGTGGAAGTGGGAAATGTTGAGCATTTTCACAGTGGAGTGTTCACACAAAGAGAATTGCATGGACTTCTTGAGCTCTTGTGGTTTCCAAAGTCATTGTCATGGCTGTGACCCAGAGAATACCACAAGCTGCCAGTGAAGTTGACAATTACACAGTGAGTCAGATGGTCTCAGAATCCATACCTGCCCGGCTCCTTATTGCTGATGTCAACCCTTTTAGCCTCTCTGAAGTTGTGCCTATGGCTTGGATTAAACACTCCTCAATGTCTTTGGACTGTCTGCCCATGGCTAGAATGTTAGATGGAGCCATAAAAGCCCATACTTCAAAGAGCTTCAGAAAGTCAGCCACAAGTTTCATTCTGTCTGTCCTCCATCTAGGGCTGGTGTCAGGGGCAGGATATGGCAGCTCTGACTGTTGTTCATTCCATATGAGGACACAGTGCATGTGCCACTGAACTTGGCTTCCCAGTTGTGGTGATATGCCAGTTGGGGAGATTGGAAGGGGGCAGCATCAAGATCCACCCCGGGACAGGCCTCGACTCTGGGTTTTCTACGTCGCTTTGTTTTATTTCTAGAATGGTATTAACCTTCTCCTGGTTTTAGGTATGCTCTAGGTGAGGACTCAGAAGGGGAAGTGCCCAGCTTAAGGCTGCTCAAGTGCCCAGCTGTGAACTCAGGTAATCATCTCTCCTTGCCTGGACTCCTCTGGGTATCCATGTGGCATAGTTCCCACTTGAGGCCTTTGTTTATGTCATATCTGTGCTCAGTAATAGATGTGTGCTCATGGGTGATGGCTCAGATGACTTCCAGATCCCTTTCTTCCCAGAGCTGGATTCTCTTAACTCATTTATCTCTTTGTTATGAAAAAAAAAATCCTCATTTTCAGAGATCTATTTCTAGATCTATTTTCCATGATCTGGTTTCTAAAATTCCCTAATTTGCAAATAATTCCTTCACCTTTTGTCAATGCTATGATCTCACTTTATATTTAATTCACTTACTTGTCCATTTATTCATTCTTTATTATATGTATCCAGTATTTCATTGACTAAATACTTTGGGGGCCTTGTTATGTGTAAGTCCTGAGACTATGAAATGGGAAGGGGCGGCCATGCCTGTGATAGCACTTTGTAGCTGGGAAGGCTGTCTTACCCAGAGAATGGCACAGGGATGATAAATTCTGTAATAAAAGCACGAAGCCCACAGCATTAATTCTGCTAGAGTTCACAAGGATGGAGAGGCGAGAGCTTTGGAGGCAAAGCTTCAAAACAGAGACGTCAGAGGAACTGTTGGGTTTCCAGGTCACCCTGAAGGACATTCCCCAGACAGAGTGGACTCCCAAATTCATAAATTCATGATGTGCTGAGAGAGAGAGAGAGAGAGAGAGAGAGAGAGAGAGAGAGAGAGAGAGAGAGACTTTGGGTCAGAGCCTAGGTAGGAAGCTATAAGTGGATTGGACCGTTTCAGTTTTACTTTTTAAAAATTATTTATTTATTTTTATTTTATGTAACGGCTTCTGGTGTCTGTTCACACAGCAGCCCCACAGGCCATTGAAAAAACCCGAAGAATGACAGGTCCAGCTTTGGATCCTGCCTTACTGATGTGACTGTTCTTAGTGAGCAACCTCAGCCCCACCTTTACCCAGTGGAACAGGAGTGAATCGAAAAGTCACCATGGGCCCCTTACTCACACTTTCAGTCAATCTGGTCTGGAAATATTACATGGAAAGTCTTGTGTTTTGGGAATAAGAGCACTGGGTGCTTTTGCAGAGGACCCTGGCTAGATTCCCAACACCCACATGGCGGTTAACAACTGTCCATAACTCCAACTCCAGGGGATTCGATGCCCTCTTCTGACCTCCTTGGGCATTGCATGACACATGGACACACTTATATACATGCAGACAATACATTCATACACACAAAAATAAAAATAATAAATAGAATTTGGAAAGAAAGTCCTGTGATTTTAGATACTGTAATTCAGTCTACTGTTACAATTATCCTATTCCTGTTGTTGATCTCCTATTGCAGCTAATTTATGAATTATTGTAATCATGGGTGTGCATGCACAGTCAGCTCTCTGTGACCAAGGATCCCATTTTCATAGATTTGATCAACAGTGAATTGAAAGTACTTTAAAGTTGCATTTGTACTAAATATAAAAACTTTTTTCTTGTCATTCCCTAAACCATACAGAATAGTAAGTACGTGTATGCACATCATTCACAGGTTGAAGTAATGTGACTTCAATCTCTACCTGTGAGAGAGGGAAAATCAGGGTCCCCTCTTAGGGTTTTTTATTAAGCACTAAAGTACAGTGGCAAGGATGGAGTGGAGAGGAGGGTGCTATGTGCAATTCATGGGAGGGCTTAAGCATCTGCAGATCTCTGTATTGTGGAGGGTTCTAGAACCTATCCCCTGTGGATAGGAGAGACTCTGTTGGATGAACAGAGCCTACAGAGTCACCATTAGCCTGGTCCAGCCTCCCTGGGGTTTTGGGAGTGTGTCTCCATAGACAACGAAGGGCTTCCATCTTCCCTTTACAGGCCCAGCCTTATAAGTCCTTCTTTTAAGTCTTCTTATAAGACTTCTGCCTTTGGAACCTTTGCCACTGCCACAGGAAGAACAGGCAGGGCTGCTGGAGCAAAGGGCCACATGCTGGGGCTCCAAATGACAGACATTTGTTCTCTAAGGGCTCTGGATGCCAGAAGTTTAAATCAAGGGCTCTGCAGGGGATCTCCCTGCAGGGGGCCCTCCTCAGCTCTTCCAGCCCTGTCTGTCCCTGGATGTCTGGGCTCAAGTCATGTGACTTCAATCTCTGCCTGTAAAACAGGGAAAATCAGGGTCCCCTCTTAGGGATTTCAGTTTCATTAATAAAAGAATTTAAGAATGGACCCAAATGGAAGCTTAAAGACAATTTTATTAAAGTTTAAAAGAAAAACCTCCAGGGCAGGCAAACTGTAAAGCTCAGCAGCTGCCCAGAAAAAGAGAATGGAGGAAGGATAAAACGCCTTGGCATTTTAAGCCTGCATGGAGGAGGACAGACACATGGTGGTCTAGCAGTCACATGACAGGAAGAGGAGATTTAGAGAAAGAGTAACAAAGCCCAAAGGATTGGGAAGCCCAGAGTGCTAGGGCATGCATTAAAAGAGACAGAAAGAAGAGGAGAGGTTATGCTTTTCTGGAGAATTTAGAAAAGTGGGCAGACGGAGAGCAATGTGTTTAAGGCAAGATTAGCTAAGGGTTGTGGGTGGGGATTCTGGGCACGAAAACTTTGCCATCTCCTTAAAATCCTAATGATTTGGCCTGGTCTATCTCCTTAGCATGGCTCTAGGAACTCGCCTTCCTTGGAGTGGACCCTTAGCGAAGTG